TTTGTACAAAGAATGTAGAATACAAGCAATTATCAGTGATCACTACACCTACCTTGAAAGATTATTGAGGATTAGAATATATAAATTAAACACTGCTATTTTTGTAACAAATGCTAAATTTGCCAGTATGTTTCTTTAAAACTCCAAGTCAAGGACAGGAAATTCTTTTCCATAAAGGATCAGAAAGTAAATATTTTAGGCTTTGCAAACCAAGAGGCAAGTTTGAGGATATTATATAGGTTCTTATATAACAAATTTTAATTGATGGAATTCCAAATATTAACAAATGTGTACAATTTTTTGGTGACACAGGCCTACAAGTAAGAATAAAATTATTTTGGGGAGATAACATTTCATATTATTGGATTTCAAGGTTAGTGTCCTCTATCATCAAACTCAATTGCAAATGTCCATCTGTAAAATCATTTTCAGTTCCTGGGCTTCACAAAAATGGTTTGCCTAGCCATATTTACTTTGTTACGTCTTGCCTAAAGTACTAAAGTTACAAGAGAAACAAATAATACTAATGTTAAAAATCTGTTCATTTCCAGGAGTCAACTTCTAACCAACTGCAATTCATTTGACTACTAAAATCTTTACACTTCTTAACATGAACTATCTAAATTTTAACAATCATGTCTACAAAGCAACTTATGCTTCTTTAACTCTTAGTTATGGGCTAAGCATAAACAAAGAGTACTAAATACAGAAGATCCTTTTGAAATCCTTAAATCTAAGAATCTAAGTTGTTGTTTAGTCGCTAAGTCGTGTCCAGCTCTTTGTGATGCTGTGGACTGTAGCCTGTCAGGCTCCTCTGTCCATGGGATTTCCCAGGCAAGAATACTGGAATGGGTTCCCATTTCCTTCTCCAAGGGATCTTCCTGACCCAGGGATCGAATCCCAGTCTCCTGCATTGGCAGGTGGATTCTTTACCACCAAGTCACCTGGGAAGCCCCAAGAATTCAAATTACACAAGCGTAAAATCAAAAGATAAAAATACATTTTTGTCAGAAACTAAGGAAACAGAGAAATAGCCAGAATTAAAGAGTTTAGGGTGATAAATGAAACAATGATAAGGTGAAGAGGAAGAGAATTAGGGTTTCTCAATCAAGCCTGTTTGCATGGGGGTGGAAGTGTTAACCCCACTAAAATTCGAAATGCAAATGTAGGTTGAACACAACACCTTGGCAACATTAATTTTGAAGTAAATACTTAGTTCTAAATTTATGCTATCACTCCAAATAACATTTTCATTTGATTCTAACCATTAATTTACAACTATATAACTTCAAACTGATAAACATGTGAAACTGCAAAAGTTAAGAATACTTTTATCAGGGATAGAAGGGGCTTCTCTGATAGCTCAGTTGGTAAAGAATCTTGTCTGCAATGCAGGAGACCCCAGTTCAATTCCTGGGTCGGAAAGATCCCCTGGAGAAGAGGTAGGCTACCCACTCCAGTATTCTGGGGCTTCCCTTGTGGCTCAGCTGGTAAAGAATCCGCCCGCAATGAGGGAGGCCTGGGTTTGATCCCTGGGTTGGGAAGATCCCCTGGAGAAGGGAAAGGCTACCCACTCCAGTATCCTGGTCTAGAGAACTCCATGGGGTCACAAGGAGTCTGACAGGACTGAATGACTTTCACTTTCTTTTTCAGGTTAGCACTATTCAATTAACATCTCTGCCTCAAAAACAAGGACCATCAACTAGAAAAACATTACCTTTATGGTATTAATAGAAAGATGTTCCTGACTCCTACAACTGCCACATTAAATACTTATTCCTTGCTGCTAATAATAAATGAAGATATTAAATCTTAGTTTTAATGAGGTATTAAATATTTAAAGTATTTTCTTATGACTGAAAATTTAGTTTTCTAAAAACTTCATCTTATTAGATAATAGAAAATCTAAAACCCAGCTAAACAAGATATATAAACCTAATGAGAGGAGATAATCTACTTCTAAATACCTTTTTTAGGGGAGTCCAACATGCTTTACAAGAGTAGTAATTTTTTGTATAAACTTTCCAGGAAAAAGATGAAGACCCACTGATTTTCATACCTAAAATGTCTGGATTTCTGATCTTAGCACTTTAAGCTATATTACAAAAGCATTCTGACTGGACAAGTCTTCTTTGGCCTAGTAATTTGATGTAATATGTCAATGAAAGTCCTTAAAATTTTCAAAAATGAGGAAATTAGCTAAAGAGATATGAGCAACGTATAGTATGGAAGTGAATGTTGCCAAGAACTTCTTGTTACATTTTTATTTTTAATAACCCTCAACTTAAAACTAGTGACTGACAAAGGGTGGAAGCAGTGAGAAACAAGCATGTGTTCTCTGGGGAAGCTCCCTAGGTTCTTCTAGCAACTCCAGGCTCAATTCAGAACCAGTTCTCTACATAATCAACACACTTTTTAAAAATGTATTTGCACAACTGTATCTGACCATTGGTATAAAATTCCTAATCATTCCTAATTCTCATCTCCTCTAGTTTCAAAGGTGATAAAACTTGAATATGCAGCATTTTTCTTAAAATCACATTAAAGTTGGAAGTCACAGAATACTAAAGTTGAACAAGGCCTCTAAGGGATCATCTAGTCTGAATCTTTCAGCTCTTCAAGTGAAATGAAAACTGAGACTCAAAATATGCCTAAGATCACAAACCAGGGAGTAAAAGCTGGACTCTTAACACCTTTACTCTTAACTTCAGTGCCCTTCTAACTATATCAAGCTACAGTAGACTCTTCAGACAACTTGAAACCAGAATTACATACGTGAGAATTATTTAAGAACTTTCCACTTCATCAACTAGTGTGAAGAACTTTATTTCAGAATCCAAAAGCTTTAAAGTTAACATTTACCTTCATAGTATAGTAAATATTGACAGAAATTGAGTTCTGATAATTTAGTAAATACTCATCATATAAACTCCAAACTACTGCTGCTTTCATCTTAATATCTGCTAAAAACATAGACATAAGGATCCCATTGTAGTATAAAAGCTTAAGACTGAAAATCAAGACATCCAGGTTTGGTTTCTGTCTCAATTTTACAATGCTTTTCTAGCTTACTAGCAAATACAAACCCCTCTGACTCCATTTCTCATCTCCTGATTAGTGGACATCACTAATAGTAACTAGTGTATAAATGTAGTACCAGGAATATTATCTATCTTGTTTCTAATTCTCACAGTTCACAAAAATAGGCATTATTTACCTATTTTACAGGTGAGGAAACTGAGGCTTAGGGAGATTATGCTTTCCAAGAAACTAAGCCAGTTAATAGCTGAGCTGGAATTTAAACCCAGCTCTGCCTGACTCCTGCCTAGAGCCCATGGCCCTTGTATTACACCACTATGCTCACATCCTGGTATGTGCGGTCCTAACACAGCTTGAGGCGTCCCTTGCGACTCAGACGGTAAAAGAATCTGCCTGTGATGAGGGACACCTGGGTTCGATCCCTGGGTTGGGAAGATCCCCTGGAGGAGGGCATGGCAACCCACTCCAGAATTCTTGCCTGGAGAATCACCATGGACAGAGGAGTCTGGCCGGCTACAGTCCATGGGGTCTCAAAGAGTCGGACATGACTGAGCGACCAAGCACAGCACAGCACAGCTCAATACAGTTGGGAGAACACGAAGTACTGCATTTGAAGGACTACTAGGAGATAAAAATGATAAAACAGAACATCAGACTGAAAAAATATACTGGGATACTTTATTATTAACTGAAAATGACCTTTCAGTAAAAGACTTTAAAACTATCCTATAGACTCTTATTACTAACACAGAAATGTACACCTTGTACAATTAAAAATATAATGATTCTTTTACAGGTAATACTGTTAATTAAATTGGAAAGTATGTCTATTCCTGCCGTTGAAATAAAGTTGTTTTGAAAGCCCTATTAAACTGCATGCATAAATTTTAAAGTATTTAGTAAAATTAAAGAGGGGGAAAATGACATAACTGATAGAACAGAAAAAAAAAAAATCAAGAGAATTTTGTACCCGTTCCTCCCCTTTCAAACAGATAAAAAAATACCCTCAGATAGTCAAGAAAAGAGAATGAGCAGATGTTTCATACTGGACATCTACACAAAGTATTTACATTCTGTACCAACCTATGTTCACCACTACAGATGGATGAAGATACTATATTACGATGATGGTTTCTCCAACAGAAGTCAAGATGTTTCCCCAAGTTTTTCTATCACTTCTTATAACAGTAACACGTTCAGGAGAAAATTCACAAATTATTCTCCCTGTGTGGTCACTAACTTTTTTTTTTCTTTTTCAGTTTAAAATCTGGCGGGGTGGGGAGGGTTGAGGGGGGACGAGGGCGAATGTAGGGCATGATTATTAATCAATGTAGCCTAAAAGTAAAACCGGAATTGAAGCGTCAGGTTACCTTTTACCGGTAATACGCGCTCTAAGTAAAAGCATCTGTGAGTTCAACGTGAAAAGTACTGTACACAGTTCGGTCACACGTCCTAATACGTGATCTGACACATGGCAACTTCTTTACATAAAAATCATCATTGTCTCTGTGACCCGGGGTCCTTATCCCAACAACGGCCAAGGTGCTGATCTCCGTGACCCGGGATAATCCCCACACAGATAAGTGACACTCTGACCGTGACAACTCTCCTGGAGTTTGATCTCCATATAACTTCTTTCCACTTCTCCTTTTCTTCTTTTTTTTTCTCCCTTCGTTAACCTCCGTTAGAGGTTAAAAAACTACACAAACCGCCTATTAAAGGGGCGTTCTTCCCCGGATCCACACTGCATTACAAAGAGTCCTTCCCTAACTGAATAAACAGCGAGAGAAAGCGCCGGCAAAACTGCAAATTCAGAAAAACCCGTAGGAAAAGAAAGAGGAAACTGAGGAAGACAGAAGGTGGGGAAGGGCAAAGCCCGCCTGACCCCGGGACCCCAGGAAGGAGGGACTGCGCTCCCCAGCGGCGCCAAAGCCCACCGCCGCCGCCTGCCCTCCGCTCACCTCGATCTCGCGGATGTTGTTGGAGGTGACGAAGATGCCGATGCCAATGGGGATGAAGATGAGGCCGATGATGAAGAAGGTGGGCAGCACCGTGCCAGCCGTCAGGATGGGCTGCCAAGCCGGCAGCCGTTGCTGTTTGAAGGCCGTGTTATCTGGTCTCCGGGTCTTAGCGGTGCCCCCGGGAGGACACGGGGGCCCACCGTCCACTTCATCCTTCGCGTTATAGTTCATCGCCATCGACCCCCGGGGCGCGGCTCCGCGACGCGCAGGTGGACGGCCCAGGGGACCCGCCTGCTGACCCTGACAGAAGACGCGCAGGCGCCGCCGCCGCCGCCGCCGTAAAGGCGGAAGGGGCGGGACACCCTTCCGCCGACAGCCGCCGACCGGAAGCGAGAGTCGGCGGGAGACGCCAGAGGGAGGTAGAAAGGAAGGAGGGAGAAGACCGAGGGACAAGGGGAGGGGGAAAGGGAGGAGGATGGAAGGGGGAGGGAAAAGGCGGACGCACCCTGATCATCTGCCCTGTGACGACAAACTGAGGGCCTCTATCCCCAGAGCGTGAAGCCACGTTGGCGCATGCGCGGTCCTGGGGCGGGTGGGGCGAAGAGGCCTCGGCGCTTGCGCCATAGTCGCGTCTTTCACTCGGCTCACGGAAGCGTCTGTTCGCGCACACCTGTCCGCTCTTTTTGGTATCATGGCGACGGCCGTTTCAGGTGGCTGACGGATCCGCCTGGCCCCCACTGCTTCCGTCAGCCAAGGAGCGGATGGGGTCAACGCCAGCTAGGTGTTTGCTTTGCTTCGAAGTCCTCTGTGAAGGGGAGCGCAGCATTAGAAAGGCCACGGAGAGAGAGCCTTAGCCTCGTGGCATTGGCAGTATTTGGTTGAGTTATAGAACCACGACTTTGTCTACTTAAAAAAATAAACTCCACTCAAGGTGCAAGGATAAATATTAAGTGGGATGTATACGGTTGGTGACCTTTTTGGTCTCAGGAATAAATCATGTAACTGGGTTTACCCTGTTATCATGCCTATAATTGCTCTGACTTGTTTTTCCACCGTTAATGATCTCCAGGTTACTCTGTACCATCTATCCTAAGTCCACGTTTATCTTTTGCATATTGATTTAAGGCTTAAAAAAAGAGAGAAAGAGATACTTGGTGTACAACATGAATCACAACTTTTAAAATTTATGCCCCGTTCATAGTAATTAAAAAATATTGGCGATATTCCCTATGCTGTAAAGTACACCTAATAATTGGTACATTTTAATCCCCTGCCTCCACCTTGCCCCTCCTTTCCCTCTCCCCACTGGTAACCGCTAGTTTGATCTCTCTTTCTTTTTTGTTATATTCACTAGTTTTACTTTTTTAGATTACCCAAGTGATATTATACAGTATTTAAACTTTCTCAGTCTGACTTATTTTGCTTAGCATAATAACTTCCAAGTCTGTCCAAGTTGTTGCAAATGACAAATTTTCATTCATTTCTATGACTGTGTAGTATTCCATTGCGGTGTGAGAGTGTGTGTGTGTGTGTGTGTATGAGTGTGCGTGCACACGCCCGCGTGTGTGTCTCAACTCTCTTCCATTTGTCTGTTGATGGACATTCAGTTTGCTTCCATGCATGCTAGTCTGTTGTATCCCATTCTTTGCAGCCACCGGGCTCCTCTGTCCACGGGATTCTCCAGGCGAGAATACTGGACTGGATCGCCCTGCCCTTCTCCAGAGGCTCTTCCTGACCCAGGGATCAAACCCCTGTCTCTTACGTCTGCTGCACTGGCAAGAGGATTTCTTCTTACTACTAGGCCCACCTGGAATGCTGCTATGCAATTGGGGTGCATATAGCTTTTCAAATTACTGTTTTCATTTGGGGAAGATAAATACTCAGGAGTAGAATCACTGGGTCATATAGTAGTTATATTTTTAATTTTTTGAGAACCCTCCATAACTTTTTCCAACAGTGAATGCACCAATTTACATTCCTACTAAGTGCACAAGGGTTCCCTTTTCTCCACATCTTTACCAACATTTATTATTTGTGGTATTGATGAAAACCATTCTGACAGATGACTTATCAGGTAGCTCAGCAGGTAAAGAATCCACCTGCAATGCAGGAGACCCCCAGTTTGAGTCCTGGGTCGGGAAGTTCCATTGGAGAAGGGAAGGCTACCCATTCCAGTATTCTTGGGCTTCCTCGTTGGCTCAGATGGTAAAGAATCCACCTGCAATGTGGGAGACCTGGGTTCAATCCCTGAGTTGGGAAGATCCCCTGGAGGAGGGCATGGAAACCCACTCTAGTATTCTTGCCTGGAAAATCCCCATGGAAGGGGAGCATGGCGGGCTACAATCCATCAGGTCGCAAAGAGTCAGACACAACTGAGTGACTAAGCACAGCACATCACATTCTGTCAGGTATGAGGTGATATCTCACTATGGTTTTGATATGCATTTCTGTGATGATTTGTGATGTTGAACATCTTCTCATGTGCCAGTTGGCCATCCGTGTGTCTTCTTTGGAAAAACATCTGTTCACATCTTTAATAAGTCTTTTATTAAGGACAATAATCCTAATAATCTATAGCTATTATTTTACTTTTGATAATTAAAAAAACTTCAACAAAGAATGGCATTATTATAAAATGAAATTTTGTGCAGACACTGAAAAACTACCAAGGATTTAATGGCCCATGGAAATACTCATGATACAAAAAGTAACTTAATCATAATACCAAAGTAGTATAACTATACAGTATAAAAAGTAAATAGTAATAACCTCCACTGACTGAATGGGAAATCTTTTTCCTCTACTTCTTTGCAATCTTGTATTTTCCAAATTTTCTGCAGGAAGTATTTATTTGTAGAAAAGAATGTTTAAATTATATATAGCCCACGTTAAATTGGCATCTTTGCAATCCAGAACAGAGAATAAGTTACATCACTTTAAAAAAAAAGTCCCCAAACTTTACTTTTTTTAAGGCTTTGTCTATAGTTAGGCCTTCTGAAAGGTGAACTAAGGGAAGGAAAACGAAAAGATTGCTTGGACCTCATAATTTACAATTATATGTATTTTCAAAAAATGACTGGAAGTTTCAAGGGATGAGCCAATCTAATATTTATCTGGCAGATAACTCATTTGCTCATATAGCAACATTTATCTCTCAAGTAATTAGCATAGCACTGGTAACATAAGTTGGTCTCTATGTTGTTTTGATCTACATAAATTTCCTTTCAACCTCAGGCACAAGTGGAAAAGATTCAGCTATCAAAGCTAATAGAGAAGCGTTTTGCTAAGTTCTGTTGGCTTGTGTGTGTTAGTTGCTAAGTTATGTCCAACTGTTTGCGACCCTGTGGGGTGTAACCCACCAGGCTTCTCTGTCCTTGGGATTTTCCAGACAAGAATCCTGGAGTGGGTTGCCATTTCTTTCTCCAGGGTCTGTTGGCCTGTAAATATATATAAACAACATTGGACATAATGCAAAAATACAAAACATAAGGCAAGTTTTTTTCTCCCCATTTCTGCTTTCATCACTATACCCACTAAAAATGTGATAGTTCCTTAAGTCCGAGATCCCCAAACCCTGGTCTGCAAACTGATACCAGTCCATGGCCTATTAGGAACCCAGGCCACACAGCAAGAGGTGAGTAACTGGCAAGTGAAGCTTCATCTGCTGCTCCCCATTGCCCACATTACCCCCACCTCTGTCCCTGGAAAAATTATCTTCCACAAAACCCATCTCTGGTGCCAAAAAGACTGGGGACCACTGCTTTAAGTGGGTTGGTATTCCAGTGTTTTGTGAGACTGGTCCAGTATTTTGCTTTCAGGGTTTTGTTGTTGTTGTTGTTGTTCTAGTGATCTGAGTGATCATGATATATTTTTTCTGATACACGGTTTTCATTTTATTTTATTTTTAGTGTTTGTAGAAAAGATTAACTTCTTGTTTCTTCTTTTCTAATTAAAAAGTCCATTTTGACTGAAATATAGACTTGTGTGGCTGGGTCCCTTGTGTTTAGCTGGGTCCCTTGTGATTAGCCAGGCCCCTTGTGATTTTAGTACCCCCTAACATTTAGCAACTGGAGTAAAATAAATTCTGACTAGGCCTTGTTTGCAGAAAAGGTAATGGCAACCCGCTCCAGTACTCTTGCTTGGAGAATCCCATGGACGGAGGAGCCTGGTGGGCTACAGTACATGGGGTCACAAAGAGTTGAACACAACTGAGCAATTTCACTTTCACTTTTCACTTTCATGCACTGGAGAAGGAAATGGCAACCCACACCAGTATTCTTGCCTGAAGAATCCCAGAGACAGGAGCCTAGTGGGCTGCTGTCTGTGGGGTTGCACAGAGTCGGACACGACTGATGCAACTTAGCAGCAGCAGACCTTGTTTGCTCACACATGTTGGCTCCTTGCTTCCTGCCCGGCACCGCTTGTTTACATGATATAACTTTTAGCTGCTGAAATGCTATTTCTTGGTCAGGCAGGAGGAGATAACACCAGGGTCACAAGGAGAATTTATGAGTTTGTGTTGCAGAAGAAATGGATGACTTTAAGGAAGATATGATCAGATGCTGGCACCCAGAAGTCTGGTTGCACCAGTGCTTCTGAGACTGAAGAAACATAGATTTCCCCCCTCCGTTCCCTAAAACGCTCTCTCTCTTGCTTCCTAATGATGTAAAATTCCCCCACTTAGCTTCTTTGTTAAGAGGAAGCTAAGCAATCTTGTTTCTATTGTTCTCACTTTGGCCAAATCAAATAAACCTTTCTCCATGCACACTGGTGTCTCAGTATTTGGTTTGGGCTGCACATTGGACACCCAAGCTTGAATTTGAGAGGTTTGCCAACACTTGTATAACTGAAAACTTTCTTACATTTTTAATCTAAAACTTACCTTTTCAGATGAGGTCCAAATTGATGGAATGACTTTTCCAGACTCCTTGATATCCTTCCAGTTCCTTTTCCTCTATGCTCTACCATCATAATAGCTTTACCCACCTAGCTTTTTATTCACCTCCACATCATTATCTGTGTGTATGTTGTAGATGTGTAATATTGCCAATGTTAATCTGTAAAAGAGCTCTATTTAATTGGCTTAAAGGAAATTAAGCACTTATATAAATACTCAGAAATATTTAAAAAAACTAACCCAAATGAACTTCAGGATTATGAGACCTAAGATTAATGATTAATGAATGAAAGTAAGTTGTTGGTTTAATTAATATAGACATGTCTTTAGAGTCATTAAG